CTGTGCCTCAGATTTTCTGTATCTGTTTCATGATCATTTGTCAATAGGCAAGTAGGTCATCAGCCTCCTGTGTCTGACACACGCCATCGACGTTTTTGGTCTAAGGCAAGCCGGTTTCCTCACGATGTTTTCCTTCACCGTTCGAGCGAATGTTAAATGCGCACATAGAAATAAAGTCCGTTGGTGCACAGCCGGGGATCAAACCTACGACCTCAGGGATGAGAGTCACACGCTGAAGCCACTAGGCCAACACTGCTAAATCCGATGCTGCCTCTTCGATTAGAAATAATTACGTACACGAAAATCCGCCACTTACATGAATGAGGGCATGGCTGTTATAATATAATTAGATACAGTTTTCAATAGCAGAAGGGTTTTGTATCCCAAATAAAAATCAACATATATTATTGATAATTTTTCAAGTGATAGTATGAGAATAGCCTCAATCCTCAGTCAAATCTGTACTGTAGACTTTTAAGTGCGTCTTTAACACTCGTATTTTGAAGGAAACCATAAAAAAATCAACATACCTTGGACGCAAAAGTCGACAGAGAATCACGGCTAATATACTTGCTTTCAAGTTAAATAATCACGATATTATAGATGTAGAAATTTGACGCCAAGCCTTAAATGTCACACATTTTAAATGTTTTTACCATCGGGGTCTCTCCATTTGTTCGAAAAAATTTGACCTTATTTAGATTGGATTACATGATTACTAAGCCAAATATGTTGCTATGTGGTAGCTGAACATTGGCTCTTCTCCGTTCATGGGTTTAATTTAATCTAGTAATTAGTGTTAACATGACAGATTTGCCTTTAACCAAATATTTTTTATCCGTAATCGTCTTTTTATGTTCACCATTAGCAAACTTTATTATGTTAATTTCTAAATTTGAGTGCAAAACATTTACGACTTTTACACTATCACAATATTTTCGGTTCCTATTTCAAATGCCAAACGCAGTTGTCGTGAAAACAAAGTGTACCTGCGTCCCTGTCTGATCCATACTATCCCAATAATGAGTCTTTGTCCGCCCGATCCCAATTATTAGTTAGTCATTGACACATCGAAATTTCATACAAAAATTTCGGGTTCGATATAGCTGTTGCCATTGCCGAGCACGTGGCGGAATATCGTATCCTAAGGAACTCAGATCCCAATTAAATAAAACAAGTCTAGATCATTCCAGATAAATTCTCATGACGCCATCATTATGTACGATATGTTGTCATTGGACGACATAACTGCATATAACAATGAAGTTCATTCTTTACAAAATGTTTAGCCTACATAGTAATAATAAGTCAAAATGGATAAGAAGAAAACAAATTTGAAAAGTTTGGTCCCTGTGGCACGCTGGCAGCATTTCCTCGCGGTATTGCGATACTTATTTATACATTATTTTCGTGTATGTAATGTGTGACTGGTACAGTTTCGATATTTTAGTTTCTTTTAATATCTTTAATAGAAGTTATAATTATATTTAACGGTATATTTAACACATATAAAAATGTTTTTCTTGTCAATGTGGCACACGTTTAAGGTATATTGTAATAAACAAATGTCATTTTATTAGTAATCATAACAAATAAACAGTATTTAAATATTCCTTAAAAAATCATTATTATGATATTAAACGTAAAATATTATACATATTGACATAGAGATCTATAGAACTTATAATCGTCACGTATATCTTATCGATATTCGCCTCATAACATCACGACGCGAATTTAAACCTGTGTTATATTCATTCGTAATTAAAATATTTTTTTTTATATTCATTCATTTAAACGCCAATAAAAAGGATTCTAAATTAACATCTACAATCAATATTGTCGTAGACTGGACGAGTCGAGATAAATCTTTTTGAATGCCTTAAATGAAAAATAAAACAGTCCTATCTAAAGGCATGATAAATATAAAGGTTTTATAAAAATTTAAAGACAAAAAATAGAGTTGAAGAAATATATCAATCACATTAGCATAATACTTGTGTAAAAACAAAAGCGAAATCGTGACTCGCATTACGGAAAAATATTCATTTTAATATTTTAAACGTCTAACGAATCATTTTATGTTATTGAATCAAATGTAGTTATCAGATTTTTGTTAAATGCAAAAATCAGATAACTTACATTTGATTCAATTTATCATTTGTTCATTTGATATAAAATTTATAGTGTAACTGAACACAAAATATGTACAGACGTTATTACGACTAAAAATTATATTTTTTTAATAATTACTCACCAATGTCTCAAAACAGCTGTCCTTATCTCTCTCGTGTCACTGTAAATGAAGGCACGTGACAAAACATACATTAAATAACTGAGGCTTATCATAACATCAAAGTTATCGAACATCAATACGGGTTCTATATATGTTTAGTTTTATATAATAATTTATTCATTCAACCAATCAAAAGCCCAATTTTTGTATTATTCAGCTTGCGACTTTTATCCCTAAGGTCGTAGGTTCGATCCCGGGATGTGCACCAATGGACTTTCTTCGTATGTGCGTATTTAACTTTCGTTGTAGCGCCACTGTTTTCTTTAATTTATTTAAATATTCAATTCAAAGATATATAGTATCACATATTATTAACCCTCATCGCAACAATTATAGTTATAACACACGCAGTGTAGGCACACGCAGTTCATAGCAATGATCCATATTAGGGCAATCTTTTCTTTTCCGGCAACGCACTCGCGAACCCTCCGCATTGGGAGTGTCCATGGGCGGCGGTATTACTTAACATCAGATGAGCCTCCTGCCCGTTGCCACGGTTCTATAAAAATCTTGCCTAATCGCTATCACCTGATTAAAATAATTCAGCCGAGCAACACCGCATATTAGTCTATATTTTTATCAAAGCTACCTTACGTGCCTAGAGTAATAAATTCCGAAATATCGTTTTCATGTTGTTCGGGTTCAAATGTTTTCATGAAACGCGTATTATATACCAGATTTCGTTATATTCTTCTAGAAAATACTTTGTCTGTGGTTCGTTGACCTAATAAACCTACTTACTAACCTCTTTAACATAATCGAATATATTTTCATTTCTAAGAAACCGTTTGTAGGACTCTACGACCCTAAATCAGTCAGCAGTTTCAAAAACTTTCCGGTCAAGTTTAGCAATATCCAAGATAATAATAATAATTAAAAATGTATATAGAATAAATAAAAAAAAAGCCTTTTATTTCTTGCTAAAAGATATACAAAATAACATAAGTTTACTAAAAAGAAAAAAGAGAAATTAAAATAAAAAAGTTAAAAGTTAAAAATATACATTAGTGTGCATGATTAGATAGGTACTTTATTAATTTCTTTTCTTCAGGTGCTTTTATATTTATGGGTGCAAGAACCCCTCTCAGCGGAGGGTAAAGGCCATTTTTCAAAGATGACCATTTTTCCCTGTCTTCGGCTACTCGCATCCAGTGCGTGCCGGCTATCTTTATAACGTCGTCTGTCCAGCGTGCATTTGGCCTGCCTCTTTTTCTCTGGCCCGATGGTCCTGGCCATAACGTTGTAGTTTTGGTCCAGCGATTATCACTATATCTGGCTAGGTGTCCAGCCCACCGCCATTTTAGCTTCTGTGAGTAAGTGCGTCGATAACTTTAGTTTTCTGTCTTATAACGGTATGTTGGATTTTTTGTATCTTCTTTATTTTCAGGATGCTTCTCTCCATACTTCTTTGACTGGTTATGATCTTGGTTTTTAGTTTACTTGTAAATTTCCAAGTCTGACAAGCATAAGTTAGTGATGGGAGTAGGCAGGTGTTCATGACTATACTTTTCAAATTGATGGACATGTCGCTTTTTAGTATTTCTTTGAGGTTCCAAAATTTCTTCCAAGTAATGTTGGCCCTTCTCTCTACTTCTTGTTCGTTGTTGCGTGGGTTAAAAGAGATTTGTTTTCCCAGGTAAATGTAAGTATCAGCGTATGATAGTGGTTGATTTCTAAGATAAATAGGTATTTTAGTATGGTGCGTCATGACGTTTGTTTTGTCTAAATTGATTTCCAAACCTACTTTACGACTTTCTTCATATAAGGAGTTTATCATCAGTTGTAGTTGGGTTGTGCTTTCTGATAGAATAACTATATCATCCGCAAATCTAAGATGGCTCAGGTAGCATCCGTTTATGTTTATGCCCGCATTTTCCCAGTTCAGTTTGCCGATGATAGACTCTAGCACCGCTATGAAGATTGTTGGCGATATTGGGTCTCCTTGCCTCACTCCTCTTTTTATTTGTATGGGTGGTCCAGTAGTTTCCAACTTTACTCTGCTGGTATTTTTGTCGTAGATGTTTTTTAGGACTTGTATGTATTCTAAGGGCACTTCTTGGGCTATTAGAGCTTCCCAGATCGATGAGTGGAGTTAAGTATCGAAGGCTTTTTGATAGTCAATAAAAACTAAGTAGAGTGGTTTGTTGAACTCTAGGAATTTTTCTATAAGCATCTCTAGCGAGTGTATGTGATCGACTGTGCAGAAGCCTCGTCGAAAACCCGCCTGTTCAATTGGTTGAAATTTTTCTAAGGTTTCTTTTAGTCGTTTCTCTAATATTGAAGAGAAAAGTTTGTACAATGATGGTAGCAGGCTTATCGGTCTGTAATTTCCTATGTTATCTGGGTCTCCTTTGTGTGGCTATCGCTATTTCAGTGTTACGACTCGGCAATTTGTATATTGACTGATTAGGTGAGCTATATAGGTCTTTGTAAAAATCTGTTGCTATTTTGAGTATCTCCGATCTATTTTGTGTATTATTAAATCTGTTTTTTAACTCTTCAATCCATGATTTATGTGTTCTTAGTTCTTTGTATGCTTTCTTGGCACTTCCTGTGGTTTGAAGATGTTTTTTAATGGTTTGTGTACGATGTACCTTATAGTCGTGGTTGATTCGTTTGCTTATGAGTTTGTAAAGAGCTTTTAGTTCGTTTTTCATAGCCCTTGATTTCGGTTTAGTCTTATGTATTTCTTGTCTTCTGCTGATTAGTGCTTTGGTGCGTGCTGATATAATTTGCTTTGTCTCTGTGTTTGTGTTACTTCTTGCTCTTGTACTCTTTTTAGGCCGATGTCAATTGCATTAGTTATTTTATCATAGCAAGCCTGAACGGTGTCTTTGTCATTCCAGTGGTCCAGCAGGGCTGCTGAGCAGCTGTTCAACGCTTCAGTATAGGTTTGAACTTCTTTTTTATTCTTTATCTGTGGCTTAGGGCATCGACCAAACTTACTGCGATTTTTTGATTTTGGAAGTATATTGAAAGCTGCCCTTACGGGTCTGTGGTCCGAAGGGCATGTAATGTTCAGAACCTGTATATTGTGTACGTTACTCGAAAGGTTTGTTAAGATGTAATCTATTTCATTTTTTGTTTTTCCATCATATAGAATACTAAAATAAAATTAAATACTCGTTCTTTTTTGCGACTGAGGCGCAAACTATCTGCTGTTGTCTCTGGCAGTATGACCAGCGCCGTGGAACAGTCTGCTCCTCAGCATTTTTTACAACCACAGCACACGCATTACACACTTTACGCGTACCTTGTTCTTTAAAAGAAAAAAAATTGTTATCCCTCATTCTTTTTTATTTTTCTGATATTGTTATTTTGTGTTTCTGTGTGTGTGTTTTGTTAGTCATAAATTTTATGTATTTGTCTAGTTTGGTCCCTATGGCACCACACTTATAATGCTGCCAACATTTCCTCGATGTATTGGGCTACATGGAGGACACGTGGTCCAGGCTCACCCGTTGTATCTACCAGGCACCAACCTAAATCTTTAATTAACGCCTGTGCACTTAAGCCCCACGGTCTAGTCTCCAAAGGCGAAAAAATCAAAGTTGGAGGAAATACTCCTGTATTTTTACCGTTTATTATATTTCAGCGGCTGTGCTGCAGGCCTTTTGGTCAACTTCCTTCTATCTTTCACCTACCTTCACGAACGATCTCCGTTCCGCTATCTCCTAATTTTACTGACAAGAAATGCATTTTCCTCCTCCCCATTTTGATTCTTTCCCTTAATTAGTTTGAAATACGCAGGCAATTTAGCCCCAAATGGAACGTGAATTTAATTGTTTACCCATAGTTATTTATGATGTTATTTTTAAATTTAAACACCGTTAGATTTATGTATCTCGCGAGATTGTAAACTGTCAAATATTTGTGAACCTCAACGAACTTTTTACAGATTTAACGTATTATATTTATATTGTAATCTATGAAGTGAACCGTCAAATTGTAAACGGCTATTTTCTACTTTTCTATTGGTTATAAGTGATTTGTTAATTTTAAAGTATGGACCTAGCGAATCGAATAATAAGTCCTCATTTGTTAATTTTAAAGTTAAACCTCAATATTAACCATTACTTGTCAAATGTACATACATTATCATTAACTTCACGTTTCAAGTTCTTTATGATTCCAAAAATTTTGAAGTTTTTCTAAAATACCCAAAACCGAATCAGAGCACCCCACTCCACGTTGTCTTGTCTGGCCTGAGCCCCTAGAAGTGCTATTATAAAATCAGAAGGCGGAGGAAATGCAGCAAGGCTTGACGGGCTGCAGTTCTCAGCATGCCGGAGTTGTCAAATGTTATTATCATACTAATTGGTTAGGTTAGAGTTAGTAGTACTAATCATTTTTATTGAAAATAACTGTTCAACTGACACGAAATCTAATACAAAAATCGAATTTTCACTTTATAAAAAAATAGATTATTTTTGGAAACCAACATAGGTATGTCAGGCACCTCTTTTGAACTTAGGATTTTAACACATTGAACACACTTATGGAGCTGAATCTACCGGTAGTGGTCTGTCGGTTTTAGATGAAAGCATTGTGAGGTAACCTAATTTCGCTAGTTTGCGTATGTTTTTCTTTTTTCTGCTACGTAAGTGCCAACAAATTTCTGTAATTTAGTATTTTATTTCGTGTGCTTGCTGTCGTTTATGTTTAAATTGTATCTTTTTAATTTCTCATTTACATTTTTTTGGCGAGGCCTTATGACTTACATGTGACTGGTCACACATTTTAGCAGTAGACTTTGCAAAATTAATCGTTTAGATTTACGCCTGTGCGGAGTCTAAGCCTTACGGTACTAAATAAATAGCAATAAATACAAGTTTGACAAGTAATGGTTAAAGTAGTTTTAACGTTTAAAATTAACAAATGAAATAATCGATTCGATTAGTTTACGCGAGAATTTGTCAACATTCACTTATAACTTTCAATATACCATCACGAAGAATGTCCTTCCGCTATAACCAAAGAAAAGTAGAAAATGGTCGTTCACAATTCCTCCTGCCCGTTCACTTCGTGATTACTATCTCCTAATAATAATTAAATTGAGAGCAGTACGCAGAGGTTCAGGCCCATTGTGCGACAGTTTCTACTCTCGCGAGATAGATTACCCTCTAACGGTTTTTACAATTTTACGTTAACATATCCAACTCCAAACTTGCGGCGGGAAACGTTTTAAGTATTTTAAGCACAGACTATTTATCGACCATAGACCATTATATTTATACTAAAACTAGCTGACCGGGCAAACGTCGTTTTGCCGTATATATCATTTATAATAAAAAATAGGGGTTGATCGTAAAGGGGTGAAAGTTAGGGATTTGTATGTATTTTTTAATGCTGTATCATACAAAAATAAAAACAGAAAAAAATATTTAAAAATAAAAAAATAATATTTAGGGGTGGACTACCCTTAACATTTAGGGGGATGAGAAATAGATGTTGTCCGATTCTCAGACATACCCAATATGCACACAAAATTTCATGAGAATCGGTCGAGCCGTTTTGGAGGAGTATGGCAACGAAAACTGTGACACGAGAATTTTATATATTAGACAAACCTTTCAAAATCGCGATCAATGATTCACTGCAACTGCGCTGTTACATATTGTTATTTAAACAGGAAGTAACAGCCCCTAGTCTGGGCCCATATTTGTTCATTGATTACATTTTATAATTATATTGTTCGAATAAAGAAATTTGAATCAAAAAGTTGGTTATTTTAGGTAAATTAAGTCATTGGCATTTTAAACTTGAAAATTGAGGGGTTTAAATTTAAACTGTGTGATTTCGTAGTTTTATTATTTGAATATACTAAACGACGGCCGACGGTTTTGACACCCGGTGAAATCATTGTTTGCGTTTCGTATAATCAGTTTTTATCATAGGCTTGCCCAATTTGGGGCTTATGGTACTTCATACGAGCGTAGGGTAATGTATCCCATACAGAAAACTCGGGAGTCATCTGCTATTGTGTGTTTTCTCCGTGTTCATAAAAATACATGATAATTAAAAATTAAAGCAAAATTTACTTACATTATAGAGATATATACAGTCTAGAGGAAAACGGATACTATAAAAACATTAATTTACATTTATTTACAAGTTGTTATAATTGGTCAATTGCAACACAAATATGTAAGATATAATTGTGTCTATTGCGAATAAAATAGTTTTTACACGATTGAAAAGCATCAAATTAACATTTTTATTTATTTATTTATTAACACTTCGTTGCATATACATAAATATAGTACAATTGACATAATTAAATAAAAAGGAGAGCAACTGGCGGCCTTATCGCTTTCGAGCGGTCTCTTCCAGGCAACCACTGTGAGAAGAAAAAAAAGTATTAAATTACATAAGGTAGGTAAGAAGTGCAAAAATACATGTATTACATATAGTTGTTGAGAAAAATAAACTAAACAGGAACAAAAAAAAAAAAAAAAAAAAAAAAAAAAAAAAAAAAAAAAAAAAGTAAACATGAGTCATTATAATTTAATTTAAGATCGGTCTCACGTCAGTTAGTATGTACGTATATTATTAAAGTTAGGAATACGATGTGGACAGGTAATGTTTATACAGAAGAAATTTAAAGGAAGATAGAGAAGGAGCTAAGCGAATAGGGACTGGAAGTGAATTTTATAGGAATTATACCTAATTCGTATGCCTAACTATCGCGTATTTAATTCCGTTAAACCACGGACCTTTGTTATGGTTTTAAATAAATAAATAAAAAACCTCTTAATGCTGTAGCTTACACACTAAATAAGAATGTGCCTAAAGTAATATAACATTTAGTGCAAAACTATACTTATTATCTAACGGCAAACGATTATTTATTTACAGCTTGCCCTTCGACAACGGCCTCCTCTAAATTTTTCCGAACTTGGCGTTCTGGAACCGCTAGACAACTTTATAGTTTCACGGCATTATAAATCAAACAACGACACCGTTTTAAATACCCCTTTCGTCTCATTCTGAAAAGTTTTGTTGTTTGCGATGAGAAGAGCCAGCTGCGTATTTTACTTAAGACGGGGCAAATACATTGGTTATGAATGGGGCTTAGGCTTAGAATGGTTGACGCCTTCTTATTTAGAAAGTTTTTTCGATTTTCATAGTTTTAGAAGTGTCAATGATTCAAAATCTAAAACGTTATTCTGTTTGTCACTAAATTTATATCGTATCAATAATATTTGGTACCAAGACTGATAAATCCGCTTCTAGGTTTTATCGTTAAAAGGTTTTTACTGCGGTATATGTGCAATACAGTGTAAATCAATATTCCTTCGAAGAAACCTAACAATTTTAATAGATTGAAATTGTTAGGTTATTCAAACAGACTATCTGATAGTTAAAGTTAAAATCCTGATTGGCCGAACATTCAACACCCATTAAATTTCATTTTTTCTTTGAAAAAATTATTGTATAAAATCGCTCTACTTATCTTTTGTCTGACATAAAGGAGGTCCTTAATTCGTTACAGTGATTTATGAATGATAAAAAATTTGTGAAATCAAACATATGATAAAGATTATGTAGTTTTAATCCAAATAGAAAAACTGAGGGAAGAATTTGATTTGATTCAATTTTTTTTCCTTCCACTTCAACTGCCGACAAGACTATTTTCGAACAGGGCCAATCAATACAAATAAAAAATGATTTAATACTTTTTTGTGCATTTTGGAGTCGATTATTATAAATTTTTAATTAATTTTAAAATAAACCTGTTTAGAATTTGATTAAATTACATTAAGTGCAACTATGAACCGAAATCTTCGAATGAATAATTTTAAAATCAAGTTCTCTGAAATTTAAATATGTCGACATTAATCAAAATAACGTTATCTTTATTTAATTTATGAATTGAAATATTCTTGTAAAAAAACAATAATTATGTTTTGTTTTATATTTTAACCTTAATGTGGTGTAATTAAATTTAAAAACTTAAAAAAGGTATTTATGACGACAAGATTACAAGGCCTTATGTATGACCTTACAAAAGGCCGACAACACATATGTATTATGTTGCAAATATAACGTGTCCTTTCCTCTTTTACTCTATACAATTAAAGTAATAATTACACAAATAATATTTCGATAATACTAACAGTCAATATTTTTTAAATCTTAAAACAGTTCCTATTAGTTTGACAAAGAATTATACAAATTGCTTAAATTCTTTTCTTAAGCCAAAAGGTAAAAACAACCGCTTATTTTGTATTAACTTTACAGTGCAGTGAGTACGTGCAACCCTAAGAAATAGAGTCATGTTAAAGTTGGGGTTCAGTCCAACAAAGCCATTATAAAACTTACTTACTGTGATACTTAGTGTGATTTTCAAGTGAACTTTGTAAAAATAAAAACAGCACAAAGGTGAAAGAGACGCCGCCACTTGAACTCCAGGTAGTATACATACATGACAAACATTTAATGCCGAATAGGTTTATACTTTGCCAAACTTATGATAAACCTATAGGTCATTGACCTCTTACGCCGATCTGGAAAACTCACCGCAATACTGCATGTCGAAAGGTAACTTTCAAGCGAACGTGTGCCGGAAGATACGCCCTTGGCCAGTCAGAAAAACTGGTTATATTCGTTGTAACTTAAGGTGGTTATAATTGTTCCAAAAATAATTAAAAATGGATAAGTCGCACCATAATAATATTGAGAAATGCATTTTTTACTTTAATAATTAAGAG